AACCTGAAACGTTTTTTTGCAGTTGTGAATGCATGAAATTTAGTTTCTTTTACCTGTTTTTTTTTGTAAGTTTTATAAGAATGCCATTTTTATTCTCCAATCAAAAGTTAGCGGATATTCATTTTGTGTATGGCTTTGTAAATGGAAACGCAGCAGAAGCAGCCAGAGAATACGCACGAAGATTTCCAAACAGACGACATCGAACTCACTCAGTATTTGTAAGAGTGCATCGCCAAATAATTGAAAATGGTTTTGGAAATCTTCAAAGGGATCAAAACATAAATGTTCGTCAGCGCATATTTACCCGTATTATTCTGCGTGAGTTTGATAGAGATCCGACCACAAGTGTTAGGAGAGTTTCTGGTGCCTTGGGAATGTTCACCGTGTTCTTAGAAATGACCATAGACGTCCTTACCATTTGCAACCCGTGCAAGGACTACAGCCAGGGGACGGAGAACGAAGAATCACATTTTGTCAGTGGATTTTTGATACAACTGATAATAACAGGGAGTTTTTAAGTAACGTTTTATGGACCGATGAGTCATGCTTCACTAGACGTGGAGTGGTAAATTTTCATAATCAACATATTTGGTCGCATGAAAATCCGCATGCAGTTCGGGAAAGAAATTTTCAGCATGAATTTAGTGTGAACGTGTGGTTTGGTATCTACCGTAATCCACTATTTGGACCCTACCTTTTGCCTGCAAGGTTAAATGCTGCGACCTTCTTGGAATTTTTAAAGGCTGAACACGCAAATATGTGGGATGATGTTATGTTAGATTTAAGAAGATTGGCCTGGTTCCAGCTTGATGGTTGTCCAGCTCATTATTCGAGAATAGTAAGAAACTGGCTGGACGAAAATTATCCAGAAAGATGGATCGGCCGTGGAGGACCAGTCGCCTGGCCTCCACGATCCCCTGACCTAAATCCATTAGATTTCTTTGAGTGGGGATTTTTAAAAGAAAAAGTGTACCAGACTCCCCTAACCACAAGAGATATGCTAATAGACAGAATCAGGAATGCATGTGATGAAATAAGGCCTTATTTGAATAATGCTATACCACGTTCGATCATTCGTAGATGTGAACTGTGTATTGAACAATTGGGTTTACATTTTGAGCGACTACTTTAGATTTTGTATGTTTGTCCTAACTATCCAATAGCATTTTAGTTGTAAATCATTAATTTAATTTGTTAAAAATAATATTGGAAAATTAAACAAATTAATATTCTGTTTTTTTTTTGTGTTTATTTGGAGTTAGGACTTATTGCTGTGTTTAAAAACACAATCTAAACGATCATCTTAATTACTTGTAATGCCCAAATCGAAAATGTAAAAAAAATATCATTTTCGCATAAATAATTAAAAATGCATCGAACCATAGAAATCGAAATATCTCCAAAACGGCTAATTATAACGAAAACTCACAGGAAAGCTTTTTAATGTTGAAAAGTGCGAAGAATCGGTTTTTTTATTCAAAGAGCAAAAAATTGCATTAAAATATTTTTTTCGGTCATTTTAGTACACTACAGGTACAGTAGAGAGCGCCCTCTAGCGGCTACAGTAAAACTATGCCCATAGTTCGTTTTGTCGTACCAAAAAACCCTTGTATACCAATTTTCACTGTTATACATCAAATATTGTTCGAAATATTTAAAAAAAACCATTTTAAAAAGTAAATTTAAACACACTGTATTTCGGAAGTCCAGGCATTTTTCGATCCATGTTTATATATAGACTTTATGCATTCATTTTAAAGGTTCTATCGAATCTTAAAGTTATACAACAATAAACTGAAACACCCTGTATAATGGATAGTTCAGGCATATCAATCAAAGTGCCTATAAATCTTGTATGAATTAACATAATCCACTGAGTTTGAAATCCAGCTTTCCGAAAATGCCTGTTAGCTTGTAGCATAACCTTAACTTGCAAAACCCGAAAGTAGTACTGATTTTGGTTTTCAACGAAATGTTCAATTACTGGGGCCACTATCCTACAATCAAAGGAAAACTTCTATAACGGCTCCCCTCAAATTAAGCCCTGTTTCTAGCTTTATACATATTTTTGTCGGAGAAATACATTACAAGCGGGCAGTATTACATTTTAGTTCACTATCAACAGATCGACATAACTTAAAGCACGTTTTATATTGTTTCAGAATGCCCTTACCCTGGCACCTCCTACAACCAAGCCTGATACTTCTGTGGTTGTACTCTTCGCAAGCGCTTTGTCCTGAAAGCTGTATCTGCCGTCAGTCCGAAAAGGGTCAACGAAAGGTAGCGTGTCATAAGGGAGGAATGAGGGACCCTATACCTATCGACAGGATGGACTCTGGATTGGAGGTGCTGGAGATCATGGCACCAGAAGGCAACCCTAATACCCTATCCATTTCTCCTGTGTTTCAGAGGTAAGAAAATCAATAGACACACGTCTACTGGATGTTTAACGAAGATTCTAGGTCATGTTGCGCTTATTAGGAATTCGCAGCATCCGATCGAGGGTTACAAGGCGTTTCGATATTCCTTTTGCATCGTCAGCGGACTGCTGTCGATTCCAAAGCAACTGGTATCTCTTGAAGAGTTGCGAGTAAGATAAGTTTGATATAACTAAATAAACTGTCAAACAGTTCTTAGTTTTTATAGTCATTACTGTAAGTTTTCAGTGTGTTTAGGATTTGTGTTGCCAAATAACTACCCTCATAGTTACACGAACGTGTCACAGGGGTCTTATTTTGGTCATATGAGTTTTCCGCGTCTTATACTACTGTCAGTCAGTGCTATACCCCGGAATCACTGACAGTATTCTATTGAGACGATCTTTACAGGGGTACAACGAGGGAGTGATCTAGTCAAGGTTAGAAAATGCTGAATTGCGAACTAGCGATTCTGTTTTGACCCTAAACTGAATAGTGCAAATTTTTTACACGTTCCACGAACTGGTTGTGATCACTCTAGATAATAATTTTTATCAAAGAATTATCGCTACGGTTGAGATTTCCACATAGTGGCAAAATGTAGTGTTAGGACACATTTTTATTTATTAGGATCTATTTTTAAATCTTAGTAGCCGTGCAATGCGTAGCTGGAGGCGGGCTGCTGTTTGACGGGGAGATTAACGGATTCTGAAATTTCGAAAGTTGTGTTGATTGTGCAACGCGCAAGTAGTGCCAGCCTATCGGCCACATAAAAATTACATACTACAAAGTTTCAGAAAATTATCTTTTTTTATACCGAAGCAGCCGCGCAGGCAAAAGCCAGGTCACAGCGGCTGCTATGAGGGATGCGGCGAATTTCCAAAAAATCTTCCATCATCAAGGAGGAGCCCATTGATGTCGCAGTAGAAGAGAGCCAGGTCGCTGATGGCCCGCCGGTGCGAGAGGGTCCCGAAACTGTCGGCTAGAGAAGAGTCATCGAGCATGGATAATGTAGACGTGGCAGTAGCCCAAACATGAGAGGAATACTCGAGGCTAGGTCTTATCTGGGTATTGTATAGAGTGAGAAGATGTGGAGAAAAGTACTTCTTATCCCTAAGCAAACAGCCTAGCTTTGTCCCAGGAGTTGCCGCTATTGACAAGATGTGTTCGTGCCACATCAAGTCATAGATGATCTGGACTCCGACCAGCCAAAATAAATGGCTCTTAGGCAGAGCTTGGTCATCCATCGAAACATGAGCGCCAGGACGCTTTCTGGTCGTCAAGGTATCATCAGCACAACTGTGGATTGGATTGATCATGAAGGAAAGGAGATCGTTGATATGTAAGAGGAAGGATGTCGGAGCCAAGAGCGATCCATGGGGAACATCTGCTTTGTGGGATGAAGAGGAAAACCCGTTAATTACGACGGAAATCTTGCGGCTAGTCACCCATCTGCAAAGCTTCCGCGATACCAAGAGCAACGACATGAGCCTCACCATAGATTTGGATGAGCTTACCCCACAAATGCGTGACGTAAGCTAAGAGGTCGCTTGTGGATCGCTGGTGCTGGAAACCATACTGTATGTCGCTAATGAATTCCGGATGTTTTAGATTCTCCAGAAGCTCCCGATTTATGCACCTCTCCATCATCTTACCAGTAACAGAAAGCAGAGCTATCGACCTGTAGTTGTAAGGGTCAATCTTAGATCCCTTTTTCGGGATGGGTTGAGCATGAGCAAATTTCCAGTTTTGGTGACCAATTCCTAAGACATCTGAAAGAGACGTGAAAGAACAGGAGCAATCACAATTCTTCAACTCAACGGAAGAAATCAAGTACGGACCTGAAACTTTGTTGTTGCCGAGCGACAAAAGCACCCATTTTGGGGTCTCATGAATGTTACTTCCCATATGCATAGGCAACTCCGACCATGGCGCCTCGAAGAATCTGTTATCCTTCTTTGGCGATTATTGGATTCCGTTCCTCAATAAACTGCCCCATTCTTGCCTGACTCCATAAGTTCTCAGATAACCCATTCCATTGCTTTCTCATGAATGAAGCACTCTTCGATATGGCTGTGACTTTGAGTTCCAAGTTATTTGCAACACTTCATTGGGTATTGAGCATAATTTGTTGTGAAGATAGAAGTGGTTTGAAAGCCCAAGGAAACTTTTACACTTCTGTTGGTGCGTTCATGTCAGTTACACACTGTAATGTTCTTTCTCCTCTTAAGGGTCGTCCATTAATCACGTGTGGCTTCAGGAGAAGAGGCAGGTATTGCAAGGTGACACTTGAATTTATTTTATTTTTATAGTAAGCGTCATAGTTTGAAACCAAAATGAGGCGGATGACTTTAATTCGCTGTTGCCAGACGATTTCCTTGCCCAACGCGACAACTACCTGGCTGGGTTCAACAATCGTCAGTAATACATCTTTCGTGTATTATCTTTATATCAGTTAGAAAGCCCCTGCATATGTAAGAGCTAATTTTTCGGACTAAGTATTCAAAAAACACTCATTATTTTGGGTAGGGAGTGGTCTATAACCATACATGTCACTCTGTAAGAGGGTGTAAAACAGTTGTAATAAAACGTCACTTGATAAATTGACGACCCTTTAACAAAGTGTCAAAGCCGGTCTCACATCCGCACTGGGTTAAGATTTTCCGCATTCCGCTGGTGAACAAGTGGATTGCAAGCCTCATATTTCAAGTGACTACCTCTATACAGACCACAATAAATGTGCGTATCGTTTTCAGATTCAAGCACCTACAAGAAGTCACCATCCGACGCTCCAGTGTTCACCAAATCGTCATGCATGCCTTTTGGGGTGTTCCAAGCATCAGATACCTAGACCTATCAGAAAACAACATTTCGTCTGTGATGGACCACAATTTTCGCGGTCTAGTCAACCTGTTAGAACTGAAATTGGATGACAACAGGATATCAAGACTCCAAGTCGCCGTGTTCAAGCACCTAACAGAGCTCCGGGCGCTATCTCTGCAAAGGAATTTGCTGACCGAGTTGGCACCGAGGGTATTCTCAAAACTATCGAAATTACATGTGCTCAAACTTAGTGGAAATAAATTGGAAGACTTAGATCCAGAGGTCTTCAAAGACATTCCGGTAAGTATGTGAATACACACCATGTATAACTGTGCAGCTCTGTATTTTTCAGGTAAGGCACTTTTGGTGAAATCCAGGGTCAGGTCTGAGATTTCAATAGCGACCTTGGATTTGACCTTGAGCCTTACGTTCACGGTGACGTCATGGCCTTCTCATGTGTTTCAAGAATATGTAGTGATATCTATGATCAGAGTCTCTTATAAAGATTAAAAGAAGGTCTGATTTGCGAAGCTAGCAAGAATTCCTATAGAAGATTAGAAAGTTTAATGATGAAAAAAATGCTTAAGAACAGGCTTTAACTAACTTTTAACAAGGATTTTAGTAGTCACCTTAGACGTAACGTTGAAGCTTACAGTCATTTCAAGGTCATTCTTGTAACTGAGAACCGGCCTCCTTCGACGGTTTCAAGGTCGATATTGAAGTCTTCGATAAAAAGCTACGAAAATTCTGCAATTGAATTTTCCATAAATATTCCTGCTAAGCTTCTAGAAATGTTCTATGGGCTCACACAACCGACTTTTATATGACCTATGCAGGTGACATTGATCCTGGATTTCAATGCATAATATTCGAACCTAGAATTTTCTGTCCTGTCGAAAGGGGGCTTTCCATTTAAAAAAGAAAATATGCCCATGCTTAGAAATACGGTACCTGACTAGATTCAGATCCTCCCGTTTATTTTGTTTCATCCAATATACGAGGCTTGATAAAAAAAAGGTTTCCAGTTAGCTCCAGTCACATTGGAAGTTGCGAGGCGAAATCAATCAAATATGGAGGTCCTCATTCTGGATACCACCCAGTGCAAGATTCGTTCCATAACTGGCTTTTTGCGCGTCAAAGAGACTCCATCCGTGAATATTAACCGAAAATGGGAATTTCCATTTAGGATGGCCGCTGAGCCTAAAATGACCGACGCAGCGAAGCTCAGCCGGGGCGAATCCAGAGTGGGGAACAGTGCGGCGGTATTGCTGGGTCTTGCATAGCACCTCGTACTGTGGCTGGAGCTCTTTGGGAATCCTGTTTCTGGATCAATCCTCGTATTATGGGACTTTCCTTTATGGACAAATCTACATATGTTTGATATAACAGCGGCAAAACGTCAACCAAGGGGTAAACGAAGTTGCTAAGTTTCAAATACCGTCCTAGCACATGCTGCCTATAAATACGTTTCAAAGTGTTATCATTCGTTTATAAAAAAATATATTTGGAAACTACTAATAATCGCAGCCTCTAGAAAACGCTTACCATGAACTAACATTAAGTTTACGGCTCTATACATATATAATTCTATACCAGGGAAATAGGTGAAAAGACAATGTCTTGGCACATGCGGCCTTGATTTAATTTCGTAGATGGTAACTCGGTTATCTTAAGATTTCGGTGCATGGGCCACTGGGAAAATTGACCTAATTTTACTGCGGAAAATCCAAATTTCAAGAACACCCTATATATCTAACACCTTTTTGAATTAAATACTACGGTTTAGATAGATATTTACGCTTCTTCTAAGATATACAATGCCTTGCTTAAAAATATTCTTTACTCCTTAAAATACTAAACTTGCGACTTCTTTTTCAACGGATGTGAGTTTTATGTCGCGGGTATTGGACGAAAAAGTTGCAACCAGCACTCTCCAAAAGTTGCCGAGCTGACTAAAATCCCTTGGGCTGGTGCTGTTTCCAATAACCTCAGTGCTTGCATAATTTTGTCAAAATGCGTTTTTTCTGACAGGAGCACAGTATCTTTTTCTGCCTGGAGAGTGACATTCTTGTGAAATACGGCATACTCACTAAAAGCCCTGTCATTCGGTACACCCCTACTATGGTAATGTTTGCAGTATTTCATCATGGTGGGAAGCGCTCATATCAAAGGAACTCTCACTTATTCAAATTATATGATTGCTTTATAATTCACGTACCCATATTATGTTGTTCTCTATGAACTTGGGATCTTCAGTTTCACGCACGTTATATAAAAGAAGTGGGCACCTCGACATCCACTTTAAAAGAACGGTTGACCTACCGGGAGTGTGAGATTCTTCATATGTACAGCATGCTCACTAAGACCCTCCTATCATTGGCTACACGATAGTACGTGCAGCATGTCATCATGGTGGGAAACGTTCATATCAAAATTCTTTCTATTCAAATTATTGCTCGCTTTATAGCTCACTTACAAGTACCCATTCTATATTTTTTATCATGAATTTGGGATTTTCGGTTTTATGTAGAATATGTAAAAAACTGGGCAGCTCGACATCCACTTCGAAAGAACGCTTGACCTGATTCTACAATCTACGTCGCTTAAATGATTTTGTTGTTGAAAATCCGTCCGGCAGTTCTAGAGAAATAATTACGGTGCTAAGCTCTCTCATTATTTCACAGGCGATGAATAGGGAAATCCTGCTATGGCATTAAAAATTGCTGAGAGGATGTACTCTGTAGTCCGGTAAATGCAGTTGTGACATCACATTTTTCTTCGCAATTTATCTACGGAATTGCAATACCGCTACCTTTTCTTCCAGTTCAACCATTGTATACCCACCAACATTCTTCTCACTTTCTCCATGTCCAAGAAATTGCATAGAGAATCTTTATAAGCTTTTGAATTTTTCTCTTATGATAAACGGCGATTTCTAATGCCAGATGGTGATATCTGTGAACTGCGTGCTACCAATGGCTGTAACTAGTTCTGTGTCGCCTACTTTGAGCACAACACTGCTCCAGATAGTTTTTTCGGGCAGGGAAGTACTTTTATAGCCACTCTCAGCTAAAAAAGCTGGTCAACTCATGTCGGCCTTTTCTACCCGAAGTGTGAGAATGTGGCATTGTCACTACTCGTAAAAAAGTCATTTGCAATACCTCCCCCCACGGTAATGCCTGCAAAATTTTATCATGGTCGGTAGGATTGTAATAAGTATTCATAACACTATTCTCACCGTCATATATGTACTATACATTCACTAGCTGACCCGACAGACGTTGTTCTGTCTTAGCTATGAACTGGGATGAATAATAAAAGGGTAAATGTATGGGATATAGATAATCGTATAGCCAAGCGTTTGTACCACCATGTGGCTAGAAAATTACGTTGGTTGGCATGTCAACTCACCTTGAAAGTAGGCATAAAATTATTGTATTGCTGAATATGAGTCAAAAATGTATAGAATCTGGAAACCAATAAATGTAGTGGCTCTGGTGGTGGTGCCAATGGTGTCAGTTTTATTTTCCCACTGACGCACCATCGTCTAGGGACTCCTTTTTTCAAACTGAAAGCCTTGCAATGTGGACTCACGTTCGTTGGCCTAATAGCAACGATTTTTTGTGAAGTGTAATCGATTGCCACGTCATAATTGAATGCAGCCCGATTGGGATTAAATGCGACTCTTCTACGTTATTGAATTTCAGTCCTTCAATCCCGTTCAACTTTATTTCTTGCTTCTCGTTGCACGTCAGCTTGACTTTTTCGTATAATATATCTTTGACTTGCTGCATTGCGAGTTGTGCGCCCTAGGCTTGTACGTCTAATTGGTGGCACTTTGAAGAATCACAATTTTAATAGGTATAAGGCATGCTTGCAGTGAACTAACTTCCACCCTTGATTATTTTCGAACAAATACTTCTCACAAAACTCACTGAACAAACTGAAAACTGGATAAAAGCTTTAATCTAATGAAATGTGCACTACTAACTAAATAAAACAATATTTTTCCATCGATAAATACTGTTAAGCGATAATATAAATTTGCGGCGTGCGTGCTGTCAAGTTCCAAATGATAGAGTAGTAAAAGTCAATTAAGCAAAAGACACGTGTTTTCATTTTCTCTCACATAGCTAACTCGTCAATAGCTGTGGAGAGCCAGTCTCTTTTGGTACTTGAGATATTTCTTCTGCTGTGCGTGCTCCGTGCTCAAGCAAGGCTTTCAATGCTTTACCAATTCTCTGCGCAATTTTCTTGATTTCTCTTTCAGTAAGAACGTTCTATACAGGATTAGGAAACTTAAAAAAAAAAAGATAAATGAAATCGGGAAAGTTGTTCTGAAGTTATAGCGTGACCCGCGAAATAGGGATTCATGTTTATATGACTTTGAAGTTGAGTCATTAATTTTCAGATAATGATTGTAGAAGGAAGATAAACCAAAATATGTGTGTAAAAATAAAAAAAAATATAAAAAAAATTTTACCTTGTTTTATAAAGTATCCTCCCGACAAGTATTTCAGTGCGGACCTGTATTTGATCGTGAGGTCTTGGAGCACCGGCATGCCGTCACCTGATTCACGAGCCCGTTGTACTACATTATCAAAGGCACGAGGGGTTGGTTGCACTCGATTGGGAAACCGATCCGCATAAACATGTGCCATTTTTTATTTCGTTTGAGCCACGCAACAGACACCACTATTCACTGACACTGACTGTATACAAATGAATAAAATAATTGTAAAAACATCGTTCCAAATTCTTTCGCTTTTTTGTTTCCGATGCGATGAACCGATATGGCGCATTATATCCGTTGTCGCCAAACACGAGCGCATAATATTATTATTGAGACAGGGCGGTACTCAAACTTCCAAAGGGCTATAACTTTGTTACTTTAATTTTACCAGAAAAATGGTAAAGGAAAAAAACATTTCTTTTGATCAGATCTACTCACTGTTAAAATAAATGACTCAACTTCGAAGTCACCCTGTATAGATACATATGTCTATGTACAGTATGGAATGTAGAAACCTATTACTGGTTACTTAGTCCATTTTCTGGAGTTGTCAGCAGCGTCTCGCCGGGCATCGGTTCCATCTGTGCCCATTTTTGAGTGGATTCCACGGAATACCCCCAAACCTTGTATATGCAGTTCGGGAACGCTATCTTTACTTCAATCTTCAAAACGACCATGTCCTGTGATCAAATGTGCAACATAACCGCGCCTTATCCTTAATAGGCTATATTTTAATGTTCGGATTAAATCTTCTAGTAAATGCACCGGGGCTACTTGCATCGTATCT